GAGTTACAAAAACAGTCGTTTATGTCTGTGAAGGTAAACAGCTGGGAAATAAATCGCATGTTTATTTTAGATCTGTGTGGCAGCAGCAATATACAGTAAATAAATCAATAAATCCACTGCTCTGTTGTCTCCTCTGAGGCTGGGACTGTAAATAGTGTTCTGTGCTCGTCTGTGCAGCCAAAGGCAGAACAGTTAGCATGTTTTACTCAAACTTTCGCCATGGCATTACACCGTTGTCGCTTGCGAAATCAAAATGACGGCGCCATGGGTGTAAACTTACAGATTAAGGGGCGGTAATATTATGAGATCCCTTTGCCACGTCACCAAGGGAGCAAAATCAGACACGCTCGTTTTTTCAGACACTTGCAGAAAAAGGCTTACCAAAACAAAGTTACTGGGTTAATCTTTTTCACCTTTCCTTGGTTGGTAGATGCACCGGGGACCTGATTATAGCACTTAAAACCTGGAAAAATCAGATTTTCATGATATGTCACCTTTAAAATATTTGGTTTCTTTCAGGACAATAAGATACACCTTTAATAATGTAAAATTGTCTAAATTAGAACTTTTTTTAACCGTTGTGATCATAGTCGATGTTTAAACTTGAGTTGAGAAATCTTTGTATTGATTAGAGAATCACAACACTGCCCCCTAGTGTCAGCAGACTTAGGTCATCCTATGGCTGCACTGTCATTACAAGTTTAAGGTTAAAGGTTTTGTTTTTTCAGTTACTATCGCTTACGTATACAGTGTAATTCATTTTAAAATCATGTTTTTGTCCTTAGTCAGTGTTCATCTTGAAACCATTTGAATATAACTACAGTTGTTTTTGTACTTATCTCAAGGCATCCGTGAACTTTGTTTTTCTCAACAGGCTCACTTAAGAAGTTGTCCATTCTGAAAGTGAACCAGAACCGCTTGGTGCATCTCACAGACTCTATTGGCGAGTGTGAGAACCTGACAGAGCTTATGTTGACTGAGAACCTTCTCCAGGTACACAACCTGCACCACCTGATATCTGTTATGTCTGCCTTTATTTGCTTACTGCGCTTTCTTTAATTCTATGACACTGGTTTTGGAGCATCAGGTTATATTATATGTAATGCTTCCATATTATTTTGCTGTATGTGCCACAGTGTTTTTTTTTTTTTAAAGGTGATGCGATTTCAAGTTTTCCTTTCTCTTTGGAGTGTTACAAGCTGACTGTGCATAGATAAGATCCCTGAAGTTGCAAAGACTAAAGTCTCAAAACCAAAGAGATATTCTTTATCAAAGTTAAGACTCTGCCACGCCCCCCTAAAACGGCTCGTTCTAACACGCCCCCACATATCTAGTTTGAGAGAGGCGGGGCATAGAGGACCTACAATAATGTACAGTATTTGAAAAATAATGTGTTTTTTGAACATTAAAGCATGTCAACATATTCTGTTACACCAAATACACAAAATAATGATCTTTTAAAAAGCATCATATGACCCCTTTAAATCGTACAATAGTGGGAATGATATGTAAACAAATCAGCTATAGATTGGAATTCATTTACATTGCATTTGTTTGTTTAAAGGATGCTTTCATCTGAAATAACTTATAAATGAGTAATCACAATTAATCGTAACAATATTAGCAGGACTGCATTACCAAATTTCAAGAGGAACGCAGACGTGTCAGAGCAGAGCCCATTATGAAAACTTTCTCTTTCAGTCCCTCCCTCGCTCACTTGGGAAGCTGAAGAAGTTGACTAACTTGAATGTGGACCGAAACCGCTTGAGCAGCGTGCCAGCAGAACTGGGAGGATGTGTCAGCCTGAACGTGCTCTCCCTCAGAGATAACCGTTTGGAAAAACTACCCGCTGAGCTGGCCAATGCAACAGAATTACATGTGCTGGACGTGGCAGGCAACAGGTGAAAATGCATTCTCTATATCACAGGTTTTGGATGTCAGAGTGACCATAAGAATTGCTACCAGCTGTTTGTTTCATGCACTGAAGTTTCTCCATCTCTTGCTCTCTGTCCCAGGTTGCAGAATTTACCGTTCGCATTGGCCAATCTGAACCTGAAGGCCATGTGGCTGGCAGAGAACCAGTCTCAGCCCATGCTGAAGTTCCAGACAGAGGACGACGAACGGACTGGGGAAAAAGTTCTCACCTGCTACCTGCTGCCTCAGCAACCCTCATCGAGCCTTGGTAAGACACTCCTCCGTCCTTGTGAATGGAGCTGTCAAGTTACACCCAAAGAGGCTTTGCATCTTTGCATATATTTGACCAGACTTTGGACTAAATGGTTAAATGTCTACCCCACTTTGCAGATTATTCTGACTATTTCTGACTTATGCTGCTAATTTAGTCAGGAACAGACCATTTGACTGAAAAATTCAATAAAATCATGCTGTGGTAGTCCTTTTTGTTTGAAAAAGTTCATTTAAAGTAGGGCTGCACGATAAATCGAAATGAAATCGAAATCGCGATTAGACCGAAGCTGCGATTGTAATGCTTATCTTGTCAGTGAAGCACGGTTCTGTGATCAGCAGTAAATCTCCATCCGAAGGCCAGAGGGCGCTCTCACGCAGAAACTCCAAATACACCTCGCAGAAGAAACCCGGCAGTTGCTGAATAAACAGAAGATTGAAATGCTTTCGTTGATTCAACGTGACTAATAAACACACGACTATGGCAATATATGGTTTATCTGAGTTCTTATTATTATAATTTTCATTATATTAAAGTATATCTATAATGCAATGCTAATCTACGGCTCTGTGTAGTAAATGCTGTTCCATCTGAAAGCAGGTGATGGAGATTTACTACTAATCACAGAACCGGCTTTACTGACAAGATGTGCATGACAACTGCATTCGATTAATCGTGCAGCCCTAATTTAAAGTCACTACAAAGAGGACTGTGGCTGGTTTGTGCCCATGCTGTCCGGCTGTCCGAGGCTAAGACTACACCTATAGTGAATCCAGGACACTCATCAAATTGCAATATTTTGTAATATGCTTTGCAGAGAATCTACTGGACAGGAGCGTTGATGAAACCTGGCCCACAGACACTAATTTGAACAGGGTATCGGTCATTCAGTTCCAGGATGACTCCAAACACGAAGAGGAAGATGAGGAGACTGCTGCAGAGAAGAGGGTGAGCGTGGAAATGTGTACAGGATGTTTATGATTTCTGGACAACTGTTTACATGAAATTGTGTACATGTGCTAACACTCTTGCTGTATATGTGAACTAGCAGGGTCTTCAGAGGAGAGCCACACCACATCCCAGTGAGTTGAAGGTAATGAAGAATGTCATTGAAGCCAGAAGAAATGAGGCTTATACAGCCAAGCCAGATGAGGATCTGGAGTCCCCGGACTCTGAGGTAAATTCAAACAAAGGCACAATTGTTTTGTTTTATTTTTTGTTTTTCTTGTGGGGTTTTTTTTTTTTTTGGTCCAAAAGTGCTTCTATTAGTTTCCATCAATTTGAATGGAAATAAATGCACAGAATCAGTTTATTTGTAGAACTATGGTGCACTGATAGTATACCATATTTTGCAAAATATGTCATCTTTTTATCATCTAAAATGTGTATATATATATATATATATATATATTGTTTTAATTGTATTCATTTTATTATTTATTTATTATTTAAAATATTTTACCATTTAAATATTATGTCAGTACATTATTTTTTTTATATTACATACAAACTGTTTTAATATTATTATCATTTAAATATTCGATACGAACTGCTCAGTTTTTTTTCGTTGATTATGTATAATGGTTTTTCACAGCAGAAACGGTTGAGTGGGCTGTCCAATCAAAGTCATGATTCTCAGGCATCCAGTAGCACCGCCTCTGCCACTTCTCAGGATGAGAAGCGGGGTGTAAACAGTACAGGGGTGGAGATTAATGATGGTCAGGGTCAAGAAGAGGAGGAGCTGGATGAGATGGAGGTGGAGTATACTGAGGTATGTATGAAGTATGTTCAGCACATCCTGAATGTAACTGTGACCTCTATTGTACAAGTGCAAGCTACTGTAAAGATAATGTTTTGGTTTGTGTGAGTATGTTGCCATTTGTTTCACAAAATCCTTCTGTTTTTTCCTTGATTCTGAACCATAATGATTCTGTCACTGCATTGGTAATCCAGGAAACTGTTTTTCTTGCCTTCGCAGCCTACTGTGCACTTTGCTGAAGAGCCCATCATCCGTGGCGATGATGAGGAGGAAGAAGATGAAAATGAAGATGATGATGAAGACGCTGAAAGGAGCGATGAGGACTCTCGAACGCCGCCTTTTCCTGCAGAGAAACAGCGGCTCATACGTAAAGACACACCACACTACAAAAAGCACTTCAAGATCACCAAGCTGCCCAAACCAGAGACTGTCGCCGCCCTGCTGCAAGGCTTCAGTCATGACGGCCTCTCACCTACTGCTCACACCCCTGAGGACGAGAGGGATGGTGAGGAGGAGGAAGACGAGGAGGACGAGGGAGGAGTAATAGTCAATACCCCTTTTCAACAAAGACTAGAAGCAGCTGAGCTAGAAGACAGTAGGCTGAGTCAGATGAACTCGTCCCTGCAGCCAGTGAAGGTAAGAAGGGCTCACTTCTAGAAGCAATGGTGTGGGAAATCCGGGTTACTTAATTGAAAGTTGGTGAAATCAGTTTATATGGTCTGAGGGTTTAAGTGGAGTTATTTAATAATCATGTTCACACATCTTAGTGCAGAGTGCGGAATTTATTCAGTCTAAGATATACAAAATACAGTGCTAAAAGTTTGAGACCCCTAGTGTAAATCTGTCCGTTTTACATTTTTAAAATGTAATACAAATTTTTAAATGCAAAATTGTATTATCAGCAGAAAATTTGAGTTATAATACTGTTCAAAAGTTTGAGGTTAGTAGAAGTCTCTTAGGCTCACCGAGGCTGCATTTATTTGAACAAAAACACTGTAAAAACAGGATTTTTGTGAAATGTTATTGCAATTTTAAATAACAATTTTAAATTGTAAATTAAAGTTTTTTTAAAACATAATTTATTCCTGTGATGGCAAATCTGAATTTTCAGCAGCCGTTACTCCAGTCTTCAGTGTCACATGATCTTTCAGAAATCATTCTACCAGTCTCTCCTGTCTCTTTTGATCAAAAGACACATTCATTCTTACTGACCTCTGACCTTTTGAACAGTACTGTACAGAAAATTTCAGAATGTCTTTTGGTTCGTCTCACTTTTGTTTTAGTTTGTTGTCTCACACTTTTAGACCCCTCTGTGACAATATTTGTTCATTCAGCTTCATTCATTGAATCAGAGCCATCGTGTCATTGGAATGAATATTGGCACCATGCAAAGTATATCCATGGATATGACCTCTGCCTTTGGTCTGATTAAAAGGACAGAACCTCAAATGAAAAAGCTTCTCCTTGTTTTGCCCCACCCTTTGGCTATGTTTAGCTCCTCCTCCACAGCTTGACTCCACCCCATTGAGCACTGCTCTTGCTTCTCATCATCATTTGCTGTCTCTGTTGCCTGGGGAAATCAGTGCACACTGCCCTCTTTGCCCACCTTTTCCACAACTGTCTGTGTGCTGATCATTTTAAATTATACCTGAACTTCACATCAATGAAAAATTCCACTGTTTTTGTTTTTTTTCTTTCTATAATTCTTATTGTGTAGAAATATGAGGACTCTCATTGGTCTTTAAAATGCATACTTTAACCAGAAAGATTGCATAAACCCTTTAGGGGTTTTACAGGCAGCAAATATGTAAAAACTGTAACAACCACTGAGAGTGAGAATTTATTTCCTACAAACATGCAACATAATGCTTTGCAGTTATTCATTGAATTCTTAAATATGATTTAATTCAGCTATACATATTTAAAATTAATCTTTGAAGCCAAGATTTATATATATCTGGTTTAAAATATTTTTAACGTGGTCAGGAACTCCAAGGTGTGTGTGTACTGGTTTATATATCCTGGTGGGGACTTAAACCTGACTACACACAGACTCATGGGGACTCGTGTCACGGTGGAGACCTAAATTGTGGTCCCCACGGGTACAAAAGGACAAAGGCACAATTGTTTTGTTTTATTTTTTGTTTTTCTTGTGGGGTTTTTTTTTTTTTTGGTCCAAAAGTGCTTCTATTAGTTTCCATCAATTTGAATGGAAATAAATGCACAGAATCAGTTTATTTGTAGAACTATGGTGCACTGATAGTATACCATATTTTGCAAAATATGTCATCTTTTTATCATCTAAAATGTGACATGACTTCTTTATTATGAATGACAATGCCGTTTGTTTTTTTATACTTATTTTTCATTATTGTTCTCTATACTGTTACATTTAAAGAATTTCTTTGTGGAGTGTGGGGAACTAAAATGTGTTTATAATGTCTATAAATAATGCAAATTATATTCATGTGCAACTTACTAAATACAGTAATTTTATACAATTAGTTTACAAGGAAAACTATCAAGATTCCAGGCATGAATAAATATATTGCTGTTCACATAAATTGACTAAGATGGGCTTTGTTATAAAAACAATGTTATATTTGGAAAGATATTCATATGAGACAATGGTCTTGGACTGCTATGATTATGTTGGCTTGAGAAATATATTTTCTCAAGAAATATATATATAATAGCTGACCAGACATGTGTGTGTGTGTGTGGTCTCCATGACTGGATGGATGAGTGGCTGAGGAATGCTTGTGCAGGACTTGTGTGTGCATGTTTTCAGTTTGAAAAAAAAAGTAAATTGCTGTTCCTTTGTGAATATTGACATTTGTGTGGATGTTGGTAATTGCTTTATATCTGTGTTTTACAGCATTGACACACTAGTGATTTGTCTGGGGTTAATATTGACAACCTGTAACTTGGGTTGCTTAATCCAGACAGTTGGTTGTTTTGATTTCCCTGTCAAGTCTTTTTAAATTGCTAAAATTGCTAAACATTTTAGACTTCCTTTGTAAAGTGTGACGTGACTGTAAAATTACTTTTTTTTTCAGAATTGCAATATTATGTTTTTGTACAGATACTGTATGAATAGCAAGCTTTTCCATATAATAGCCGTTTTATTTCATGAGCTGAATCTGCTTGCTGAATGCAGTCTGAGATCTGAGCTGTGCTATGTTGTTTTAAAGCTCTTTAAGTGTGTAGGTCAGTGTTGTTTGCTGTATATGTGGTGGTTTTGGAAGCGCCCTCTCTTAATGTGGGTGTGTGTGTTTGGAGGTGTGCCGGTCATTCAGTCACCTGTGTGAATGTTTGTTCCATTTATTTTAATTTCCAGTCATACAGCTTCTGTTTTTTTTTTTTTTTTGGCCTGACTAATCTGCATGCCCTCTCGCTGGTTCCTGTCCTAACAGGGGGTGTCATTTGATCAAGTCAATAATCTGCTGATTGAGCCTGCTCGAATTGAGGAGGAAGAGGTCTGTACCTACTCTCTTTCCGCCCAAACTCCCGCTCTCTTCCTCGCTCTCTCCCTCTTTTGATCATTCATTCATTTACTCACTCATCGTTCACCTGCAGTTCAGGGAATCACGACTCACCACAAAATTCTTTCATTAATCCACACCGGATGCTTAGGGAAATTGCTGACTAACATTTACTTATAAGTCACAGCTGTAATAGATCTTAGTGTTTGGAGAAAAAATGGTCATGGTGCAGCTGTTAGCTGAAGAATATTCTGGGTTGAGTACTTAAAAAAAAAAATAATAATAATAATAAAGTTAAGCTTTTGCAGTAATGAAGTTACAATGTAAGTCTATGGACAAAGGCATTTTCAGTGGTTATTGAAAGCATGTCATAAACTATATTTTTCATCTTAATAATTGCCCTTACGTTTTAAAGAAACATTGTGTTTCCATTACCATGTTATTCTCCAAACTAGGTTCTATTACTGTCTGCAACCTGTTTTTCTATCGTTTTCTTGTTTTTCTTTTCTTCCCTCTTTTCCACCGCCTACCCCTCTGTCAGGTTCTGCCACCTAGGAGCAAGGAGCACATATGCTAGCACATGAGCTAGTGGAAACTTTTATTTTTGGCTGCATCATATTACAAGTGTCTGTTTTGTCTGATTGAAATGAACAATACCCACAAAAGTAGTTGTTTATACTTCCGTAATTAAATAATTTACATTTGTTACTTGCCATGTAAAAATATATGCCATTCGTATGACTGATGTTCCGTGTTCCCCTAAAATCAGTCATTGTATAATTGCACGTAAACCAGATTTACGTTTTCTCCAAAACCAAAACCCACCAAATTATTGTTTTTCTTTTTCAAAGTGCAATATAAAAATATGTAAATACTGCTACCATATTGTCAGTCATGCAACTAATTTCAACATAGTGTTAATACCCTCTCTGATATATCACAATAATGCGATAGGTCAGTCATTTTCAACCATTTGAATACACTAATCCATGTCATACATTTTTAGAATTTTTTGTATTTTAATGAATGGATAGTACTATTTTTTTTAGTAATTCCTGACCCAGTGCCAATGTAAGATAAGTGACCATCAGCCATAGCATTAGACCAAATAAGATAATTACTTTCCACTTTGTTTAATTAATATGCCTGAAGCTGAGCATTTATTTATATTAGTCACACAAAGGGCTGTACGTCTCTAAAGATTTCATTGTCCAAGAACATTGTTCTCTCTTCTTCACTTGAGTTTTGTTTTTTCTCATCTACCCACTCACTATGCCCACTTTGCATGGCTGCTGCTGTAGAATCAACCACATCTAGTCCATCCCACAAAAAAGTTCACCACCCTCCCATTCATTTTGTGAATATTGGGTATGTCACGGTGTGACTGTTTGGTGACGAGTGCCATCACTTAATCAGTCAATACAAATGTAAAGTGGTTTAAGATAAAAAAATTTCCTCAGTGAAACAGTTGATATTAATTTTTTTTTAAATGTTTCTGTTATCTCATGATTTCATTATTTTAAAAAAAAAGGACAAATAACTATGAATTGAATTGGCTTCAGCCTCCTTTTTTAGGCCATGAATGTGTTACAGTACAATGTTCAGTAGCATTGAACTAGATGTGGAGTCTTTTGCCATTAATCTGCAAAACTTGAATCAATGCAAGTTTTGAGGCAGGTGATGTTCAAACTTGAGCATGTGTTCTTTATACAGTCTGCATTAATCAAACAGATCCTTGGTGTCCTGTCCCAGCAATGCTGGCTTCCTCTCCTTGATTTTTCAGACTTTTGACTATTTGATAAAATGTATAATGTTATATATGATAAGTATTAAATATAGTGTTAAAGTAGTTGAATTTGACTTGATTAAATGTCTTTCGCTGATTCTTGGAGCAACTTTGTTCTTGGTGTAAATAATTTTATATACACTATAGTTTGAAGTCAGTAAGACTTCAGCGAGGATGCATTAAACTCAAAAAGTGACAGTAAAGTTACCAATTCAAATAAATGCTGTTCTTTTGAGCACAGAATCCAAAAACATTAAAACAAAATCTTACTGGCCCATCTCATTCATCACATTAGTCTCATAATGAAATTGTCTACTTGGGATTCATTGATTCCTTACATGCACAACAGACTTACGTGACCTTTTGAACATGAACATAAAAGATGTGCATGTAAACAAACTTTCTGTATAGAACAGATCAACATACATTTTGGATAGACTTTATGGTGTCTGTACATACAAACTGTCCAGTGTGAGTAAAGGCTGGAATACACTACACTACGTTTGCCTAGATTTTTCTATATTTGCCCTGATTTACAGTCTGGGCAAGTCAATGGTAGCTGCAAAAAGTCAGAGCCAGTGTGCAGATTTTAAAACCGCATAAAATTTGGTGGGCACAGACTTTTTTTCCCAGTTGTTAAGTCTATGATGCCCAGTTTTTCTCTGTAACCATTTACAAAATCGTAGTCGTCTGGCATATTCCTGAATCCTGCCTTAACTGTGTGCATCATGTACAATTCACACCAGTACTTTTTATAATCCTGTAGTGTTGAATTTTTCACTCCAAAGATCGAAAAGATGTGGGTAAACCACTTAGTCTGTCACATTCCCAAACTGCTTCAATAAATAGACAAAAGCAGTCAGGCTGATCCAGCTTGCAAATATCAAGGGCTCATCTTATCAACAGAGGTGTTGGGCTTCTGTGTTATTTCATCTTGGTTTTTAAATGCATGTCTGAATATGAAAAGCTTGTCCAATAATCCATAAATTAGAGCAAATTTTTTAATGTATGTAAATGAACGCATTGTGTACATCAAGGAAAGAAGGCTGGTTGGGACAATATATTTGATCTGTCTGAACAAAGATGCAGTCATTCATATTAGAAATACTTTCTAAACAAGCATGCACTGCATGAAAACTTTTTTGTTTGTTTTTTGTTTTGTGAGTCAAGCCACGCATGTTATAGCAAATGTTTTGAAGTATTTCGTTCTGCATTTGTCTGTGAATTTCTGATCTCTCTGCTTCATCTGTAGCTGACCCTGACTATCCTGAGGCAGACCGGTGGGTTAGGCATCAGCATTGCAGGGGGGAAAGGATCTACGCCCTATAAGGGCGATGATGAGGTACATTTCAATGAGCTTTCACACAATACATGAGTTTCAGTAAATGCTTGTGTGTGTGGTTTGTTTTAATGTACTGTATATGTCCTTTTCAGGGTATTTTCATCTCTAGAGTGTCAGAAGAGGGCCCTGCAGCTCGTGCTGGGGTCAAAGTGGGAGACAAACTTCTTGAGGTGAACATCTGTTTTCATTTTCTCTTTTGAGTTGCCCCTTTCAGAACCAGTCATTCACGCTGCTTTAAATCCTCAATCATTGTATTCGTCTGTTCTCAGGTGAACGGAGTAGACCTGCACGGAGCGGAACATCACACAGCTGTCGAGGCCCTGCGCAATTCAGGGACGGCCGTGGTTATGACCGCTCTGCGAGAACGCATGGTTGAACCAGAGAACGCCATCACCACCACTCCACTGAGACCAGAAGATGATTATTTCCCCCGGGAGAGACGGTCCAGTGGGCTGCCTTTCCTCCTGGACCCTGCCTCTCCGGCTGTCAGCGGTGGACCAACACTGCGACTAGCCACTTCTCTGGTCCGCAACGATAAAGGTTTAGGGTTCAGCATTGCTGGAGGGAAAGGGTCAACCCCGTACCGAGTAGGAGACACGGTAAACACAAGACGCTATTGCATATTGTTACGTCCCGCATGAATCTAGGGGTGTAAGCGGACGCAACAAAACAACAAATAATTTAAAGAGTGCTAGTCTGAGTCCTGTCACAGCACCACAAGCAACAAATTACCATAAAGGTTTTTATTTGACAGCTCATGGAACAAATACAAAAGGTATATTAAAAATAAGAAAAAAGAATTAAAAATAAATAAAAGGGAAGCAATAATTTCAGGAGAGGGCAAGGCCAAAATAACAAACAAAACAATCTAACTAGATAATTTAAGCCTCTAACTAATCTAACAAAGAAAAGAAAAATAACAACAGGTTTGTATCCTAACTCCCTTCCTGGCCCCAAAACAGGAGAAAACAGGATTCAACAAAAATGGCACCCACCTCCCTACAACTTCCAAATAAACCAAACAATATTATACAAGTTTGTAAACAACAGCAACAGGCTGGGCAGGACAAAGACAGCGCTCTGGAGAAAGCTCTTGGGGGACCGTTTTCTCAAACTTTGGTAGTTGCTGCTGTGCTTTTATGCTGGCTCACTCTTAACTGGTAAGCAGCTGCAGCTGGGGGCAATCAGCTACCTGCCAGACAGATTGAGTAGGAGGAGGCAAAGGGTTAATGGAGGGGGAAAAAAAAGACACATTAAAGAAAACACAGCTTTTCTGATAAATCATAACAATAAAGACTACGTCTCCAGACGTAACAATATACACTCGTTACTTGACTTGTCAAGTCACCTTTATTTTTATATAGCGCTTTTAACCATACAGATTGTGTCAAAGCAACTTAACAGCATTAAATAGGAAAATAGTGTGTCAATAATGCATAAGGACAATAGTAAACACTCAATTTTCAGTTAAAGGTAGTTCATTATTGAATTCAGTGATGTCATCATCCAGCTCAGTTCAGTTTAAATAGTATCTGTGCAATCAAGTCGATGATATCGCTGGAAATGAAGTGTCCCCAACTAAGCTAGCCAGAGGCGACAGCGGCAAGGAACCAAAACTCCATCGGTGACAGAATGGAGAAAAAACCTTGGGAGAAACCAGGCTCAGTCGGGGGGCCAGTTCTCCTCTGGCCAGACGAACCAGCAGGTTGTTACATGCTGCAGCAAAGACACATTGTGCAGAGGACTCAACTGGTTCCTGTGGTCTTGTCCCGATGGCCATCCAGGAGACAAGGTCTTCACTGGGGATCTGTCTCTGGGGCTCACCTAGTTGTCCTGGTCTCCGCTGACATTCAGGGCTGTTGAGGTCATCTCTAGGTGTTGATCCACCATCTGGGCTGGATACGTACTGGATCCGGGTGACTGCAGTGACCTTGTAGTGAATATTTTATGGTGTGTTCATTGCTTCAGTGTCAGGTTGTGCAGTGTGGTTTACGGAAGTCAGGACATGTCATCCGTTCTCTCCGTATGTTTAACATGTTTAGCAGAAGCGTATGGACTGCGTAAGCTTCTGCATGATGCACCTCTAGGATGGCTGACCGAGATGGCAATGATTAGAATTCCAGGGACTGACACCTGATAGAGCCAGTAGATTATCGGATAGCAGGGGATGAAGTATTTTTGGATCTCCGCTGCAGACACACATCATACTGCCCTCTATCTTTCTGACATGGCCACATTTTTGCACCACTTTCACGAAGGAGACACAGTCACACATTAGCACATGCACACACTCTATGCTGAGTAATTGTAAGTCCTGTTTTTGTCCTTCTGCTTGGCATTTGTGCTTGTTTTTACTAACAAGTAGATCTCACTGACTTGTCTGCTGGTCTGTTTGCTGCTTTGAGTCTTCAGCATGAAACGTTCTGATCACAATTTCAGAGAACATACTGTGAAAGTGCTGACAAAGGCTGTTTGCAGACTGTGTATCTGTTAAACTGTTGAGATTTGTCTTTGAAGAATTAAGTGGCCTTGAGGGTCGTCAATAGTTTGTTCTTTTAATACTACATGGTCTGTTACATCTTTAGAGTTGTAAATAAGCCCATATAATAAACTGCTAAAAGCAAGGCAGGTAATTTTAAGCTAAGGTCAGCAGGATCATTTCTGCTCTAGAGGCTTGAGGCATTGCAGCATGTTACTCCAGCATACTGACTAGCTCTAGGGATAGTTCACCCAAAAATGAAAATTAGCCCATTATTTACTCACCCTCAAGCCATCCTAGGCATATATGACTTCCTTCTTTCAGATGAATCCAATCGGAGTTATATTAAAAATGGTCTTTGATCTTCCAAGCTGTTTAATGGCAGTCAACGGGTGTTGCAGTTCATCAGTCCAAAAGAAGTGAAATAAAGTGCATCCATCCATAATAAAAAGTGCCTCACACGGCTCCGGGGGGTGAACAAAGTCCTCCTGTAGCGAATCGATGCGTTTTTGTAAGAAAAATATCCATATTCAAAACGTAATAATCACTTTAATCTAGCCTGCGCCAACAGTTGTACACGGAAGCAGCTCCGGGCGGTGAGTCTCGTGAAAACCAACGTTTGGTTACAGGAGCAAAGGAAGCAAAGTTTCCTCACTTTAGCAAAGGAAAACCAGTCTCCACTTGGCCTATATTTCGAAATCCTCCTACATTCTTCTTTACAAATCCTTGGTTTGTACTTCTAATCCGTGACCATTGTTTTGTTTTGATCTCTTCCCTGCGCTTCCGCGTTCATCACTTCTGAGCGGCGCATGCGCAACGCCGACGTCATCCGTCCGGAGCTGCTTCCGTGTACAACAGTGAGCGCAAGCTAGATTAAATTGATTATTAGATTTTAAATATGGTTATTTTTCTTACAAAAACGCATCGATTCGCTACAGGAGGACTTTGTTCACCCCCCCGGAGCCGTGTGAGACACTTTTTATTATGCAAGGATGGGCTTTATTTCACTTCTTTTGGACTGATGAACTGCAACACCCACTGACTGCCATTAAACAGCTAGGAAGATCAAAGACAATTTTTAATATAACTCCGACTGGATTCGTCTGAAAGAAGAAAGTCATATAAACCTAGGATGCCTTGAGGGTGAGTAATTTATGGGCTAATTTTCATTTTTGGGTGAACTAACCCTTTAACAGCTGTACAGGAGCACTGAACTCAGTTGAAGCCAGCTCAAGTCAGCAGCTAATATAGCACTGCAAGAGATACTAGCATTGTGTTACTACAAGTGTATTACCTGTTTTTAATTCTTTGTGAAACTCCCCTAGGACTCTTTACTTTTCTTTTGATTCTTATAAAAAGAGTGTTAATCAAATGAGACCGGATTTAGTTCTATATTTGTTATTCAAGGATAAACTTTCAAAAGCTTTTTTCTTTTGTTTTATAGTTTAGTTATTTACTATTTACTATATTTACTTTCTATTTTTCATTTGTTTATTGCCATGAGTTGTAGCTCTAAATTATAAAAAATCAATCACTTCTTTGTGAATGTTTCTTTGTGTATTTTTTTGTGTGTATTATTTTAGAAAACATTTATATTAATATTTCACAATCATGCTTTTTACTGTATTTTTGGTCAAATAAATGCATCCTTGGTGTTCATAGGAAAATTCCTTCAAAAACTTGTATTGAGATGAGATTATCATTGGCTGTGTTTTTCTGCTTGTCTCGCAGGGAATCTTCATCTCTCGTATTGCTGAAGGAGGAGCTGCTCACAGAGACAATATCCTGCACGTGGGAGACAGGGTCATATCAGTGAGTTCATCCGTCTCTCTTTCTAGTTAATGTAGCTTATCAGTTTAATTTAGGTTTAAAAGGATAGTTCACTCAAAAAATAGTAAACGTTATTATTTACTCAACTTCATGCCATTTAAAAAAATCTGTCAGAATTTGTTCCTTGGAATGCACTTTGCACATTTTTGACACTTGTTTTCCATACAAAACATGAATAGTTACCAGGGTCTGTCAAGCTCCACAATGCCAAACAGTGCCATGAAAGTAATCCATACAATCATGGGCTGCATTCTAAATCTTCTAAAACCATGATAGTTTTGCAAGAGAGAGACTCATTTACGTAGTTTTCAAATCTCATTCATGTTCCCGTATATTAAAATGTAGCACATAAAGAAGTCATGCCATGTCTTCATTTAATCTCAGTGATGCCAAATATCATAGGGTTTGGTTCTCATAACGAATTGTGATGCACTAGATCTGTATATGAGCAGGAATATGACTTGATTTCAGTCAGTTCTTCACACAAAGCTATTGTATGGTTTTAAAATGTAGCACACATACTGTCCCTTTTGAAGCTTGAAAGTCACTATTCTCTTTCATTATACAGAAGAAAATAGTCTCATGTTGTGCCTTACAAAATAAAATCAAACAGGTTTGGGTTTGGGTGTGAGTAAATGACAACATCTGCATTTGTGGGTCAGCTGTGCAGCTATATAATAGATTTTTTTTGTTCCTGGGTATTAGATCGAAATAAATTCACTTTACATTGTGAGAAACATAAAAATAATAATAAGCCATTATTATCCAGCTCACTGCATGGGTGAGTTAGTTTTAGCACAGTCTTCTGCTGTTTTACTGTGCTGTACACCATAACCTTTCTGCTTTGCACAATGAAATTATGAACTTCTCTCCTAGTAACCTTGCCCATATTGCGACTCAGCATTATAACAATTATAATCCCAACTGTTTTGTCTCCCTTGAGCCCTCTCTTTATTTCGAGATTTTGCTTCTTCTCCCTCTCTCCTTGCATGAGTTTTCACTAACACACTTCTTGCCTGCTTGGTGTCGGGTGTGGTGATGGGAGGTTTTTGACTTGTTCTGTGGGCCTGCTGTTATGGTAACTGCATGCGTTACCCTAGCAGCTGCCGTTCTGTCACCCTGTGGTAAGCGCCGGTACTGAATGGTCAGTGCTGACCTCTGTTTGTCACCATGGTGGAGCTTCTTACTGCTAAACAAAGTAACCAGAAATCAAGAATAGTCTTCCCTCACATGGAAAGCAGGACAGGTTAGGCCACATGCCTTGGCTTTACAAAGAGAATCTCAAATATTGTACAGTCTTTGTGAAAATGCACAAAAATGCAGCAGCATTAGGCCACAGTTTCAACACAGCATGTGGTGTCAAGACATGAGCCAGATCATAATTAAAGGGTAGTATTTAAAGACCCATCGTTAAAGGGTAGTAATGTGATGAATCAGTAGTACTTTTATATACAAAGTTATAATGGAGTTGAGATAGGTTTTTATGTAGTCAGGTTGCAATATCTGTCTGTCCAGGTATAGATGACATGATGCATAATCGAATATTTCAAGGATTGTCAGCTCAATCCCGAGGCCTTTTGTAGTTTGCTGGACAAAGCCATGTTACAATCACATACAGATCTGTTAGTCTGCCTTACCAAAAACCAGACTGATACTATTTCAGTGAGACTAAAGTGTTTACATGGCATTTTTAAAAGGTGTTTTATTGCTTTAGTACAGCTGTAATCGAACTTTTAAAGTGCATGTTACCATTATAACTAATTTGTCCTGGACTAAGCTCACATTTTGTGAATGCAAGGTCCTCTAATCAAAGTATATGAGATATATCTGGAATACATTGAAATATGACAAGCTGTAGTAGAGTTTGGTCACGGTTTTCTTGAATCTGCTCTTTTTATACTCTCTCTAACACAATACGTGATCTTGCTACCTAAAGCATCTCCAGCATTTCCTCTTTCTCCTATTGCACATTGCCTTCTCTTTTCACTTCCCTGGTCAAATGTGTCTCAACGTTTTGATTTGATGCATGATTTTTCACTGAGAACCCAGGTTTTCAAAACCGAGTATATGTAGGTGAAGTGGAAATCACTTTCTCTTTGAATGCATGAGAGGGCTCCACATTGGCTGTCACTCACATGATGATCCAGATCAGTCCTGTACAGGAACATATTTCACTCAACTAACACCTGGACTCTAACGTTCCTTAAAAACCCAGCTAAATGAAATGCTGCATATAGTAATTAAAGAGCCCATAAGACGTAACAAGCTCAGCATAAGGGGCTTTCATATGCCCGTTGTGGGCTTATTGGCCCTCTCTGATCCTCTGGTGTTTGGCTGTCGCTCCAGATCAATGGTGTAGACATGACAGAGGCCAGACATGACCAGGCAGTAGCGCTGCTTACCGGCACCTCCCCCACCATCACCCTCCTGGTCGAACGGGACCAGGCCAGTGCAGGGGGCGCCTCCCCTCGAACTCGACCTCATTCGCCCCCTCCTCCAGAGCCATCTGACTCACCTGAGCAAGAGGAAGGAGATGAGCACCTTGGAAACCATCTCAACTGCCCCATGGAGGATGAATACCCCATTGAGGTGAGAGCTGGAAATAATGGTATGACATTGAACCTTCAGGGAGAGAGTGTGTGTTTTTCTCCCTATTTGAGGAAATATTTAAAACTAATAAATGCTGCTTGCTGTAGTTTAATCTCATAACAGCTTAATTTTGCTGTTTTAATGCCTCACTTAACAGAGAAAATGGTGCACGGTATGAACATTGCGTAGTGGATTTATTGTGTTAGGATTGTGATTTGGCCTTTTAAAATTTACTCTATTGCTTTTGCATTTAATTAATGCTCCCTTGATGTTTTTATTCGTGCTCATTTCATGTAGTTGTGTAGATTTGCCTAGAAGATGCATCTCTGTTACAAATAAATGAACATTCAGTTTAACTGTATTTACCATTACCATTCAAAAGTTTGGGGGTCAGTAAGATACATATACATATATGGAAGAAAAATAATGCCATATGTCTTTGAAACAAAAAAGCACGTTGAATAGCACTGACTGAAAAAATAATACATTGCATTAACAATCCATTTTATTTCATTTTCCAAATTCGCTGGTTTTCAGTGGTTAAAATTCGACAGAAAATTCACCATTGCACATCCGGGAGCTGCAGGAATAGCAGTAGAGCACCGATGCACGATCTCCAGCTGCTGTCAGTCGCTCACCAGCAGGTGGCGCAAGCGGCTGTTCATGAAGACCAAAGCAACAGGTGGATTAAGTCATTCATTCACAAAAACTGATTTGCAGAAATGGAGCAAGCGCCAAGTAGAAGTTTTGATTATCGGGGCCAGTATAAACATGTGGAAAAGCTGATTGTGTGTATGTTTAATTCAACATCTTTGCTGTTTCCCGTAGCCTACATGTAAGCAGCTTTCTCTACCACATAGAAGATTACAAGGCTATTTTATCCAACGCTGATGTTCAGAACTAACATTACATCTGAGGAAAACATATATTGCTTTTGGTTGCTTAGTTTCCTTTACTTGTATCATGGCTTGTGTGACGCTGTGCTGTAATACTGGGGTTCCCCCTCATACATCACACTCCAGGATTCCTAAACGACGCATAACGCTCCTCAGTGAACTATAAGACCTCAGATCTCAGAAAAAGTTTTACTGATGATGCGAACTATACCGACAGTTAAGCAGATGTAGAATATGAACTAACGCGCAAGGTTTCACGCTGTTTACCCTAGGAAATCAGTTAAAGAAAACATTACACGGCTCAGTAAGTGCATTAATGCAACGACAGCTATTAAAAGACCAAACTCAGATCTTACTGATGATGCAAACTCAAGGCTATTTTATCCAACGCTGATGTTCAGAACTAACATTACATCTGAGGAAAACATATATTGCTTTTGGTTGCTTAGTTTGCTTTACTTGTATCATGGCTTGTGTGAAGCTGTGCTGACCCAAGTATGTACACTACATAAATATTTTTTAAGAAAAAAATTACAGTAATTCACCAAAATGGTTTTTTTTCGTGTTGTATTCCAAATGTTGTATGTTACTAGTGACCAGACTGACTTACTACAGTTGAAATTTTGCCAATATCGTCCTTATTGTATATACAGTAAATAAATATTCTTTAGAAATTACTGTAATTCACATAGTTTATGTTCCAAATGTTGTAGTACATTCCTAGTGACTAGACTGACTTACATAGGTGAAATTTTGCTAATACCTCCCTTACTGTACATAAAGTACATCAATATATTATACTACCTTTGGAACATGAAAAATCCCTTTTGGGGTCCTACAGATTTTATTTTTTGTTTGTTTTAAATAATTGTGAATGGTGCATACAGTAAGGGAGATATTGGCAAAATTTCACATGAAGTCAGTCTTGTAACTAGCAACGTACTACAACCGTTGGAACATGAAAAAACCCTTTCCGGGGATCTTTTATATGTAAATAATTGTATACTGTACATATATGAAGGGAGGTATTGTCAAAATCTCACCTGTAGTAAATCACTATGAGCAATACGAGCTTTACAATTTGACAGTGTTTTATCTGAAATGTTAAAAATCATTTTAATTAAAATACATTGGACGTTTTAAACCAGTCAGTGGAATTGTCAGACGGTCCCTTGTGTGTGATAGCACGTCAATGCTTTCTCCGGTTTAAATTTGCAGCAGTAATACACATAGGCGGTTTTGAACTCCTATTTTTATGTCAATATAAAGTGGTTGCATATGGTTAAAACTAATCGTGGTATTGATATCTTTGTAGGACTGTTGACTCAATAGATCAGTGGTAAGGGAAAGAAATTATAAAGTAAATGCAGCGCATTGCGTTCTTCTGACCTCATTTGCTTGCCTGTATATAGTTCGCATAATCATCAATAAAGTGTATTCTGAGATCTGAGGTCTTATATCACTGTATTAGTTCACTGAGG